GTTAGTAATGGCCACATTTGTTTCTGTGCACAGAGATTTATGAAGTAGATTTAGTCTCGTCCCAACATAAAGAAGTCAGGAGCTAGGAGTTAGCTGTGAATCATTTGATTCTCAACAACTGCCTTGAGCTCAGGTCATAAGTTTTAGAATTTTTTGTTTGTTTTTTTTGAGACAGAGTCTCACTATTTCACACTTGGTAGAGTGTCATGGCGTCATAGCTCACAGCAATCTCAAACTCTTGGGCTTAAGCGATTCTCTTGCCTCAGCCTCCCAAGTTGCTGGGACCACAGGCACTTGCCACAACGCCTGGTAAAGTTTTAGAATTTTTAAAGTGGAATTAATTCAAGAATGACATCTGATGTCATTAGATGGTATATCGCCTACACTCAAAGCCTTAGGGATAAATACCTTATAGAAAGACTATTACCTTAAAACTGACTTTGATAGCCTTCAGGGGATGTTGAATAACACAATAGAAATAAAATTTGCATTAGTTATTTCTCATTCTGGAAACTATAATTATCTTCACTACTAATGAAGATACCAAAACCAAAGTCTTGCCAGTTGAGGCATAAATACTTGTCTATAGGACTCAAATGCAAGAACAGTAATTTAAGGCAGGACTGATATATAGTTCCCTGGGACGATTTGTGCATGTTTTGGTAAGGCCTGCCTTCTTTAATTAGGAGCTTTCCCAGCATGATGGAGAATGAAAATTGTAACCCAGGTGCGCTACCATTCACATCTAGCTCAGAAGAAAGGAATGAAAACTGAAACACATACTTTCCCCCAGATTCCACTGTGTAACCAGTGTTTACTGAGAGTCTCCCATGGTATCAGCACTGTCTAGCACTGGACGCAGAGTGATGAGCTAAGCAGAAACTTCCTACATGCTTAGTCCTTAACCAACTAAACACAGCCATGTAAATAGCCATGAGAAAACTCACTCAGCAGGTAAGCCCTAAACAAACAGTGGAGAAGGTTTTTCTCTCAGCTCAAAGAGGGAGTAGTCTTTGAGGGCTGGGAAAGAAAGGACTAACCAGGAGATGACAATTGTATTGGATCTTAAAAAATTGAAAAGATTGGAACTGGGAAAAGCTAATATTATACTCAAGAAGGGTGAGGGAGGCACTTTGGACCATAGACAGAACTCTGCTATTTTGGCCAAATTTAATGCAATCTCTCTTTCTGGCCTCCAATCAATCCTTTATATAGGCTGTCCCACTACTTCAACCAGTTATCCTTTCTTAGACGTTTCTTTTCTTTTCTTTTCTTTTCTTTTTTTTTTTTTTTTGAGACAGAGTCTCACTATATCACCCTCTGTAGAGCGCTGGGATGTCACAGCTCACAGCAACTTCCAACTCCTGGGCTTAAGTGATTCTCTTGCCTCAGCCTCCCAAGTAGCTGGGACTACAGGTGCCCGTCACAATGCCCAGCTATTTTTTGTTGTAGTGGTCATTGTTGTTTAGCTGGCCCAGGCTGGGTTCCAACCCCCAGCCTCGGTGTATGTGGCTGGCGCCATAACCAGTGTGCTACCGGCGCCAAGCCTCTTAGACGTTTCTAATCTAGGGCTAATTTTAGTGTTTGGACGCCCATACACCCTTTCTGCTTTTCAAGACGAGTTCAATTTAGCATTTTACCTTGCAATAATATTGTTATAATTTTAACTATCATTTAATGAACCCTTAAGTGACAGACACTGCAGAACACTCCACATAGATTTTCTGATTTAATTCTCCTAACATCTCTATGTGTTGAGCGCTATTTACCCTGTTTAATAGATCTGGAAACTGAGGCACAGAGAGCCTGGCCCCATCCACCCAGCTCTTGGAGCAGAACTTCTGATCACTAGTTGTGCGCTCTGTGTAAGTGAATTTCTAAGTCATATGGAAGAGTATGTTATTCCCCCTTAACGCCGTGGAGTTTTTCCCTAGCCCAGTCAAAGGTTCAAACAACTGTAATGTTTTGACCTCCGGTGATTCTGGTTTCTCCCTCAGCCAGATAAGTTGCAAACCTGTTGGAACCAAGAACCGTGGGAAGAGGCGAGAAGACTTTGCGGAGACAGCCATCCCGGGAGCGGAGTCCACGCACTGTGGCTATAGCCGCCGTGAGGACGCAGGTCCCTATGTCACCAGTCTTTCTTTCCCGCGCCACCTGCACCGGGGCCTAACGCACATTCACCCAGTCCGGACCTCACCCTTTCGGCGGCAGTAGGCGGCCCGGGCCCAACCCTGCGGGATCCGATGCGTAGGGCAAGGTTTGCCCTTGGGCTGGGGCTCAGCAGGCCGAGCCTGGCCGGAGGCTTCCTCCTCCCGGCCTTTTTCCAGGGAGGAGGGGATCGGGAAGGAGAAAACGGCAGGGCGGGGCCTGCCACCCACGGTCCCCAACTCTGGGACGTCACGGTCCCAGGTGCTTGTGCGACAGGAGCGGGAGTGCAACTCACGCCTCCCCCCGGGCAGCTTTCCCCACCTCCGCGCTAGCAGCTCGGACGGGCCCCCGGCTCCATTTTCTCGCGGGGCCACGCCTGGGACCGCGCCTCTGGGCTGGGTCGCGCGGCCGGAGCAGGGAAGACGGCCCCGGGGCTGGGGGGCAGGGAGCGAGCGCCGGGGGGGCCGCCGGGGGCCGGGGACCGGGAGGAGCCGGGCGCGCGCGCGCGGGAACGCGGGCAGCGGCGGCTGGGAGCGGAGCGAGCGGCCGGAGGCGAGGGCGCGATGGCGCGGAGCCCGGGACGCCCGTGCGCCCTGCTGCTTCTCCTGGTAAGTGCCCTGAGTCGAGGAGCGGAGCCCTGGGACAGGGAGGGCACTAGCGGGCGCCAGGCTCGCGCCTTGACCTGCCCGCAGCGTCGGTGAATTACCAGCCTGCCGGGCGCGCCCTCCTGGTGCCCCAAGGTGGGACAGAGCTGGGCAGGCTGCGGCGAGACCGGACCTGGGGCTTCGGAAAATTTTCTTGGCTGGGGCCGAGAAGGGTTGGAACCTGTCGAAGTTCTGTTTTTCTTCTCGGAACACCTAGGCCCTAGCGCCTGACTCGGTGAGGTGTAGGTGTAGTGAGCCCCGGGGCGAGGAACACCGCTCCTGGGGCTCTGGGGCTTTGTTTGCAGCCTTCGGCGACGGGAAACATGGAGGCAGAAGGGAGCGACATCCGTGTCTTCTTCCAAGGTCCTTAGCGTTTCCCTCCATTCCCCAGGTTCTCTGGCCACCGCCGGTGCGCGTCGGTGAGCTGGTGAAACCAGGAAAATACCTGTATTCCTAGAATGCAAAAATGGACTAAAAATAGTTTCTTTTTCTAAAAGGTGTTTTACAAAGCTTAACTTTTTTGTGTGTGAAAGCTACATTCGTTGATGTTAGGAAAATCACCCACACGATAGTTACAGTTTTAAATGAAGTTCACAAAGTTCGTGGTTTAAAACAATTTCCTAGCACTAAAGATAATACCGTATGTAATAGTTGGAAGACTTTTTCAGTTAAAAGGTTATAGAAAACCAAAGTGTAGAGCCACCGTGAAATGAGATTTTCAGAGATCACCCTCTAAATGAAAAGGGCTTCAACCCCGAGGAGAGAGGAGACATTCAGGCCCTGGGTCTGGATTTCTTAGGCTTGGTTTCTATGCCCAAACTGAATTTTAACCCCTTCGTTTCTCTGTTAAAAGAGTTTGCCAATAATTAAGAAACATCTGGCTTATAGGGGTGTGCTAAATTGATTTTGATAAAGTGACAAGTTACCCTGCTAATACAGGTGAAGATTCACCTTATGGAGAGTTCACAAATATATGCTGTTAGAGATATTGGATACAAAATTATGCTCATGTTTCTTTCATAATGATTAAAACTAAAAATGTGCGTGTATCTACTGTATTAAAAGCATCATCTATCCCAGAGTGTAGTGGGAGAGGGAAGAAAAAATATGTACACACACACACACACACACACATATATAAAATAAAGCTGAACAGAAAAAAGCATGATTAAATCCAATCCAGAGATTTCAGTGAACTCTGATTTGAAACAGCATGATAATTAAGACCTCCAGAACTTCAGCACATAGTTCTTTTTCATGCTGTATTTATCCATTTCATTTTGCCGGTGATACTAAGGTAACTTTCCATGCAAATTCATCTCGTTAATAAAACTTTTCTAAGACATGATCGGGGGCTTTGTTTTTGGCCTCTGGAACATCGGAGCAACTGATGTTTCCTGGTTGAGAATTACACGGTAACAAAGCACCTGGCTCACTTTGAGGGTTAAATAATAAATTTTCATATTAGAAAAGAAATTACCTTAAATCTTCAAATAGCATAGCAATCAGGCCTATCAGAGAAATAAGTTAACAATTTAGCATCTTTTTCACTTTAACAATGTGATACTTTTACTTTATTGGGCAGTAATAGGCTTTAAAAATGACTATAGTGGGCCCGCCTGGTGGCTCACGCCTGTAATCCTAGCACCCAGGGAAGCCAAGGTGGGTGGATTTCTTGAGCTCAGAAACTGGAGGCCAGCCTGCACAAAAGTGAGACCCCCATCACTACTAAAAATAGAAAAATTAGATTTGGTGGCACAAGCCTGTAGTCCCAGCTACTGGGGAGGCTGAGGCAAGAGGCTCCCTTGAGCCCAAGAGTTTGAGGTTGCTGTGAGCTAAGATGATGCAAATGACTATAGTCAACTGAACAGGAGCAAAATTCTTGGATTCATCTATACATTTTCTATAATACTATTTGCAATATAAATTTGAGTATGTTTATTTTTGCTCAAAGAACGATGAGCAGTTCAGCCTTTCACCCCTCCTCCCCCCA